GATGAGATAAGATGAAATAGCGTTTCTAATAATGGCGCGGAAGGTAATTATTGGCTCGATTGTTACTGAAAGCGTTTATCGTTACGGGTCTCTTTCCCCATGTGGCTTCTCCGTTGCATCTGAGTTGTGAGCAATTTGCCCTCGTTGTGCTAAATTCTGATGTATGCGTAGCGGGGCCATGTCATGTGTGTGACAGGCACAGTCAACTTGCTGCCGCGTATATCAAACCACCTCTCTAAATCTCAGCATCAGCTAGCTGACCGGCTCGGACAGTCGACTGATGCGAGGAATGGGATAAATCGAGAGAGGTCGACCGTCAGTGCAAAATTGTACACTATACAAACTCGAACGCCCTTGAGACCACCAGGGTGAGCTAAAAGCCTTGGCTTAGAAGATTTTCAACTCAAACCACGGAGTATACCATGATGTGCGTTTGTTTTGAACGGCCGTTTGGCCGACTGAGATTCGGACCTTGATGTCTATATCCTAGTGACACTCTCTCATATCTATGCGATCTGCTTCGCTCCTTCGCTGGGTGTATACTCCTACTGTGCGACCATTGAGGGTCGTTTCGCCCGTGTGGCGCGCGTAGGTGGGCGCTTTTGCACTGTCAACCACTGCGTTCGCATCCTGCATCAAAAATGACTAATGCAGACAATTGACTGCTGCCTGGGAAAGGGGGGGGAGAGGATGAGGCTGCCGGTCTCAGCGCACTTTCCCCATCATAAACAGTTAGAAGCTTAGGCTCGACAGTCGTGTGTGAAATCTCCCAATTACGTCTATTCTGAATGCTTTCTAGCGCTATTCCTCCATTTTGACCTAACCAAATAACCACTTATTTCAATTCGATGCGGACTTTGTTGTGAGTTATCACGTTTGTCTTTAAAACGGGTCGCAACTGAAATGCGCCAGACCCGCCTGAACTCTCAGATTAGGGTTCGCTAGGCTTTGTTTTGGCTGCGCACGCGAGCAAAGTCCACAGTTTTTGGACGTGCAGATGTGCCTGGATGTAGCCTTACGCTGCGTCAGACCCTTGAAGTCGGAAAGTGCTCTGGTGCCTTGAAGAGAGGATGAAGAGTCAGTTCGAGTATTTTGACTCCGTCCCCACAACACTTAGCGAATATTGATCGAAGGAAGCGGTCTGACACCTTTTTAAACTATTGTGATGAGTCGAACACCGTAGCTTCGATGGCAGCCATCCAACCGAATAACTCCGTCATGCTCCTAGGGCAGAATGCCAGAATGCAGTGGGCCATCGTACTGTGCCCTTGTGGCACGCCCGTTCATTGCGCGCCCGAGCCGACCGCCTGTGTATTTTGTGTAAAATCCCAGTCAGTTGCGTGCTGACCAGATGTGTGTTTGGCACGCGTAGACGCTCTACCAAATTTTGCCAGCCATTGCGCCCGGCCCCGTCCCCGGTCTTCTTGACTCCGTTAGTGAGGAGAGAGTGCCACTAATACTGTGGAAGTCCATCTTGCACTACAAACTTATTTACTCGTATGTCACTGTCCCTGAACCCAAACTGTTGTGACGCGCATGATATATACTATCTTTGGTTGAACTGTCAGCATATAAAGTGAAAAAATTTGGAGAAGCACACAATTGCTCCGAGCGGCCAATTTCACTAACACTTTTTAGGGGATGGGACCTGAACCCCAAACTATTCTGCTTGGCTCCATTTAGCTTCCAAGACAACACGCCGCAACTGTTAACCACGCTCTCTCAAGATAAGAGAATTCAGGAGGATAAAACGAGGAAGCAAGTAGTTCCTCAACGGCTCTTTGTGAAAGAGAAAGCAATCCCTTTTTAG